AAACGATAGTTACTTTGAGTTGCCATAAAGAGAAAGTAATAATTAACAACTTACCTTTTCGAGTACGCACCGTTTTAAGAAGAATAACCGCCACTAGAAGGACATAGCCCAGAGTATCAAGAAGGAAATGAGTGCCGGGAAAGAAAAGAAGAGAAGTTAATTAGTACTGCCCAGCTAAATCAATTATACATGCCTCAACTTATCTTTAGTAACGTGAACTTTAGACCGGTGAAACGACTGACTCGCCATTTTCCGGCCCAACAATTTGGTGGTGACTGTGAGATCCGATGTCTCGTTACCCTCCATAAAATTGTGCTCGCGCCAACCCATAATATTCATTAAAAAAAAAAATCTGCCTTGATTATTAATCAACGGCAAAAATGTTGGATAAGAAAACTTTTTGTATCCCTCTACGTCGAAATGGGTGGAAAGAAGCAAGAAATGCCGTCACTATGCCGCAAGGGACAAGGACGAGAAGAATCAAGGAAAAAGAAAGTCGCTATGTTAGGCCACCTAAATTTAAAGGCAAACCAGGAAAAGAGTCGTGGATATGGGTAGAACATTACAACCAAGCCACCGACTGCAAAAATTGGACGGATAATGAAAAGTTGGAGGAAGTAGCCAGTTATTTGGAGGGAATTGCGTTGGAATGGTATGATAAACACCAGCATTGTTTCACTTATTGAGACGACGAGTACAACCATAAGGAAAGTTTCGTACCGGCATTCATCTACCACTTTGAGACGATTGAACAATGGCACCAATGGCAAACAGAGTTGGAGGACATAAAGCAAGAAGAGGACGAAAAGGTGCTCAAGTATGTTCGACGATTTCGGGAGTTACTTAAGAAGGTCTATCCTAGGAAAGACTACTACAAGGAAATGGTTGAACGGGCGATTGCGTATAAGTTACGAGAAGATCTGCTATCTGTACTGGCTGTTAAGAACGCAATTAGTCCAAGAGAAGTGCTTAAAGTGACAATTAGAGCTGAGGCTAATGCCAAAAAAGAAGTAAAGAAAAAAGGAGAGTTAGAAGACCGCGTCCGAAAATTGAAAAACCAGGTACAAGAATTAATGGAAAGGTATAATGTATCTACTGTTTTTGATAAAAACGAGTTGGGGGCACCAGACACAAAATTCCAGTGGAGGGTATCCCAACCCATCAAGACACGATCCAGCGATGCTGAGAGTGATAGTGAAAGTGAGGAAGAGAGCCGTCAACTTAGGTGCCACTGGTTATTTGAAAAAAGTGAGAATAAGAAAGGGAAGGTCGTGCCGGAGTCCACAATGATGAAGAAGGGCTATCTGAAAACCAAGGTGAATTCTCAAGCCCAAGAATCTGAGTGCGATGATGATGACATATCTTCACCAAAAAAAATGAATGTTTGTGTTAGTAAGCGAAAACATAGCATAAAAGACCAGGTAAAGATTCAGGTTTCGAATGCTGACAGGGCTGTTGAAATACCCGTCGATGAGATCGGCGACGAAAGGTTCTATGATGTGGATAAAAGAAATGCCCTGCGAATCGAAGGCCAGCAAGAGAAGAAGGAAATCAACGAAGGCGAAGATCGAACTACCTGTCAAGAAGGGAAAGGTGAGGTGATAGGGGAGATACGTAAAGGTCCCGATTCCGATGATGAAAAATGACCGAAGATCTTAAGCCCTATCACGTACTCCTCCCCTTGGGAAGAAATGTTGATGGTAACTAATAATGATTTGAAAACGGTCAATAAAACCGAGGAGAAGAAAACTCCCTTTTTCAAAGTGTCTGACGAACCTAGTTCCAGCATCGAATCTCATCCCATCGTCTCAGATGTCGATGAACGTTTGATCGAAGAACCAATCATGTCACGTGATAGTGTTCAAGAAGAGGAAATCGAGAAAGTTGAAACAGGCAGCAAACTCAGGAACGTACAGAATGGGCAAATCAAGACGACACTAGTGGAGGAGCCAGACACCTTAATACTTAACGAGGAACTACCAGTAATAGCGACAACTCGGAGAAATCAAGACAGAACCGATGAAATTGAGAATGATCAGGAAACAGTAAAAGAATTAGCAAGGGAGCTCCCAGAGGATCAACAGGGCGTCCCTATAGAAATTGTTCAAGGGTTAATATTTGCGGATGTAATGTTGTGCACGGATAATACTGACAGTGTATCAGTCTAGCAAAAGGTATGCCAAAGCAAGAGGAAAACAACCGGAGATGAGACAACATCGGTAATCACTTGGAAAATGCATGCACCCGGAAATGAGACCTACAGGTCATGTAATATTTCCGCGGTGTGGCAACGATTGATGAATGTGTTTCTTCGTGAATTTAAAATAAAGCTCACGAAAACACACCCCGATATCTTCATAAGATTAGTGCTTCGCATAATGATGATGATCAAGAACAAAACAGTTCTTTTAAGCTGTTCCGTGAGGAGACTGCTAACCGACAATATTGTCGAACAGATCATATTAAGCCCTGAGTGCGACATAGTGGTGCGAAATCATGATAATGTCCCGATCCCGATTGATCGCAATGTGCAACAAATCAGGCAAGACATACAGGGGACCATTAGCGGAAGAACAGCACCAATAACGATGGAAGGGACACATGTGTATAAAGGCATGGCTAAGCTTTGCAGTGTCTTCATGAATTGGCAACATGTAGTAAATACAACGAATGCGAGAAAAATGGCAATAGTTTATTTTAATGTATTTACAATGAAGAAGTTTTATATGATGCGGGAGTTCAAGGCACGACTGATCCAACTTGTACCAAACGATATAATAACTTCTATATGTGGTATACATCCCGTACATCCCGAAAACCAGGATGTTGTAGACGATACAGCCAAGAAAAAACGAATGGTTTGGAAACTTAATGCGCGAATGGCTCAACTGACATGGAATGACATCGGAGAAGCTGTAACACGTGACCATGAGAGATTACGATCCGTTTTACTAATCAGACTACAAGTCAAGGAATTGATGACATCCATGACTAATGAATATTACCAGAGAGCTAAGAAAAGGCACCGGAATGGTAAACGAAGGGTTAGGAGGATAATTGCCAACTTATCACGAAAACGGAAAAGGGATAGGACCTACCATCATCGCGCCATAGCATCCATCGAAGCAAAGTTAAAGACAATCCAGTATAATTCTGTTTGCTAGCCATATCTATTGTAGAATCCTGATACGGCTAAAAGGAAGTGGAAGGACCATACACTTCACCAGGAAATCAGATTGGGAAGCCAGCCAGAGCAATCTCATAGGATTACCCAAATTTGTGATATCACCGGAAAAAAGCATAATTTCGAGTTTATACGTACAAGTAGGAATGATGTAAAAGAAGATTACAAAAGGATAAATGCTAGTAATCTGGCTGTAACGAAAGAAATCGAAAATGAACTGGGAATTACAGTCAATGACGGAGATGGCAACTCGGATGTCTGCACCATCACTTCACCATGCGATATCCAACCATCCGATATGCCACCACCATGGATAACCTGTCAAATTCTAGCAATAGTGGGAATCTTTGTCGAGGACGCCAAAGATAAGTGGGGGAGAATGTTAGCCTGGTAAAAGTCACATGGTATAGTCACATACCCTGGAAATTTAGGATAGTATTAGTAATTAGCATAGGGAATGTAGTCATAGAGGCTTATGTAACTTACCCATAGTTTATTTTAGCCCTGATAGTTTAGCCTCATCAATTTATGCATCAATAGTATAGCTGTGGGATTAATAATTAATAAGCGGGTGGGTAAATAAATAGCAGCAGTGTAAAAAGAAAGAAGACACACACAAACCTGCACAAAGTAAATTAATAAAAAGGGATTAAAAGAGAAACGATAGTTACTTTGAGTTGCCATAAAGAGAAAGTAATAATTAACAATTTACCTTTTCGAGTATGCACTGTTTTAAGAAGGATAACCACCGCTAGAAGGATATAGCCTGGGGTATCAAGAAGGAAACGAGTGCTGGGAAAGAAAAGAAGAGAAGTTAATTAGTACTGCCTGGCTAAATCAATTATATATGCCTCAACTTACCTTTAGTAATATGAACTTTGGACTGGTGAAGCGACTGACTTGCCATTTTCCAGCCCAAAAATGTCTATAATATATATATAATTAAGCTTTTTGTTTTTTTTTGTTAATTCATTTGCATACTTGTTATATTTATTTACATATATTTTAATTTTTTTAAATTTAGTGGCTACTATTTTTATCTTCTATCTTTTTCTGAATAAGAGTTGTTATAAATATGTTTGTTTTTTTTGCTATTCTCTATTTTTGTAAAGTTTTTAATTGTATTGTATGAATTATATTTGAACTATCTATTATTATGATTGTCTTTATATTAGAATTAAGAAATATTATTGTTGTCAGAATTGTCATTAGTTCTGCTTTTATTGATAATAAGAATCCTTAATATTTGTCTTTAAATTCTATTTTTCAAGTATTTTCATACTTATAATTATATTTCCTATTTTTATTTTATTTGATTGTTATTGTATTTTTTTATAGATCTATATATACAGTATATATATTTATATATTTTTATTTTTAAATCTATTTTTAAATTTGTTTTAATTTCTATCTGATTTGATCTTATAATTTCAACATTTTTAAATACAATTTGTATATTGTTAATTTATTATTAATGTTATTAATTTCTATATAAATTTTATTTTTCTTTTTTATTGTTAAGTTATTTCAATTATGTATTTGTCTAATTAAGTTGGATAACATTTATATTTGTGAAAGGTTTCTTATTATTTAATTATAGAGTTTTGGATTATTTTTTATTATTTTGACTAGTACCATATACCACTGCATACAATACCCCTCTTCAAATACTACTTCCCTATTAATAATACCAGGTAGTATTCAAGAAAATTGTTACTTGATAATTGATTACTACCTGGGTATATTAATATAATAATAAGTAAGACAGTATTATTTTGAATTTTATAATAATGATATATCCTGCCACTAATACTACCTCCCTCCTAGTAAAATACCCCCCAGGTATTAATCAATTTATTAGGGAGTAAATTGATTAATACCCGGGGTATTGTATGCAGTGGTATATGGTAGTATTATTATCTTTTTCAATTATATTTTTCTAATACATGTGTTTGTTTTTTCTTCTATATCCAAATTGTAACTCTTGTATTTTTATGATTAATAAGTTATTAATTATTTGTATAAAGTACTGGATTTTAAATATATTGTTTAGAATTTTCTTAATTTGCTAAATCATATATAATAAATGTGTTAATGAATAATTTAAAGAGATAAATATTTTTATTCTGTTATTATATAATAATTTCTTGAAACCAACTGGATATATAACTTATATATTTTGCTTCAGTTTTTGTTTTGAAGTATGTTTATAAGATAAAGTATGAATTTGTATTGTTTGTTAGCTATTCAAGATAAAAGAGATTGTGTTTCTTTAAATTGATTTTGTTTTTGCTATATTATTCTTGTGTTATATAATTCTTTATTGATATTCAGCTGTTCTGAGATAGTAAATATATTAGTTTATACAATAATATTGTTTTTATTTGAAAATTGTTTACTTTTAAAAAATTTATTATTTTTGTTATAAGGTTCTAATGTAAGATTATTATTATTTCATATTTGATATCCAGAATATTTTTGATAATTTATGTTTAATTTTATAGGTTCTGAAGTCTTGTTTTTGTAATTTGACCTTTGATATTAGTCTTATTAAAATCTTGAAGCTATATAATTGTTTATAATTTGACTTAATTATCATATATATTAAAGATTTTATAGTCTATGTAAAGATAGATGCACTATTGATTTTTATTATTAAAAGAATTAATTTGTATTTGAAAAATATAATAATTCTTCTATTAATTGTACTATATTCTTATTAAAAAAGTGTTGTGTCTTGAATTAAATATTCTAATATTAATATAAGTGCTTGATTTATAATTAACCTGTACTGCTTGTTAGTTATTTTTTTTTGATTATAAATGTCTTATCATAAAGATTGTTTTTAATATTTTTTTGATCTTAAGTTTGTTATTCATATATCCAAAATTATTATTGCTATGTTTTTGTTTTATATATGAATTGAGTTAGATTGAAATTAAAATTTATTTTTAGTCCTGTTATATTTATATATCTGTTTATTAAGTTTATAATCTTCTGTATTTTTTTTTTAAATTTGTAAAACATATTGTATTATTTATATATAATATGTATTATATGTGTATTATATGTCTGTTCTATTGTTTAAAACATGTGATAGGTATTTTTAATTCTAATTTGTAGTTTAGTTTTGAATTTTTTATTTTTGTAATAAGTGAATTATAATAGATGCACTAAAGAAAAAAGAATATTACAGTATATTATTTTGATCTATATTTTGTGTAATACAAAAAGGTTTAGTAAACCTATACTATATAATTACTTGACTAGTTTACCTTGTAATGCAGTTCATAATAATTTCTAGAATAAGATATAAAATCTTAATATAATTTATTGCCATTTTGTATGTTGTGTATTGTATAGAGTCATATGCTTTGCTGATATCTTGGTTAAGTATTTATAGCTTTTTTTTTATTCTCTTGTTTTTTTAATGATATAGTAAATAATTATTAGTGGCTTATATATTCCTTCTTCAAAAAGTCCTGTTTAATTTAAAGGAGAAAGAATCTAATATGTCATAAAAACTTTTGTTATTTTCTTGTTTATAATCTTTATAAATACCTTTTTAACAGTTTTAATTTATCTGAAGAATATAGCAAAGAATTATATATTTTTATACATTTTTAATAAAACTGTTTATCTGTTCACTTTTATATTTAGTATAATGTAAATATAATATTTTGTTTATCTTTAATATTATACAAAACCTCTTGTATTTAGTAATTTTTATATTACATATATCTTATATCATTCTTGGTAATTTTATTAACTCCAGACTTAATAATAGGTCCTGTTTTTTTGTAGTACTATAGATTTAATTAAATTTAAATTATATTGCTAATTTAAGTTTTTTAAAATAGATTAAATAAAATTGTATTGTTATTTGTTTAAATTTTCTTTCTTTTTTTACCTCTAATCAGATTGCAAATAAAAGTATTTATTAATCCAATTTTGGAGAACAGTAATACAATATAAATACTATACTAAAGCTAAACTAACACAATTTTGCAGAACACTTGTCAATGAGTTTAGATTTGTATATAAGTCTTAAATCCTTAATACCAAGACCACCGTGTTGCTCATATGATTTAGTTATTTACTAACTATCTTATTACAAGGAAGTAGATTTATTAAGCTATTACTGCGTGATATTAACTATCTTAAACTTTCTAAATCTTAACTCTCTAAATATAATCATAGGGAATGATAGAAATTGCTCTTTTTCAAGACTAGGTATCAAAGACTATGTCTTGAAAGATTTCAGCTAGCCTATATTTAGACTGTTACCTCCACATGAACCTGTGGTCCTAAGAGGTAAAAAATTTTTATTTTTTAAAAAAGAAGATAAATAAAAAAAATAGTTGAGGAGTTTGTTCTAGTAAATAAAAACTCTTCAATATCAACTTTGGTCCATCGGAATAAATCCTTTATCACCACCTGCAGCTAGGCAAACTATTTAATTTCTACTATTATATTGCTGACCAAAAACATTTAAGGTACTTATAACAAGTCTTATACACATAAGAAATTATTGCTTGGAATAAGACTTATATCTTAGGGAATTATTGCTTGATGCTTTCTCAGAATAATCAACAACAGAGAAAGCTTGTTACTAAATTGGGATAAGACTTCTTTTGATCTTGGAGAGAAAAGAAACCAGTCCAAGAGAAAAGAAGAAACACTATAACATATCTTGACAAAACAGACATCTTATTACCTTGCTCTTTTTACTGTGTCCAATGGCATCATTGGATTTATTGTTATATGAGATAAGGCATGTGGAAGTTATGTGTCTTGTTTACATTTCTTGCTACATGTAGATCAACTAGTCCAAATTTCTAACCAATCATTATTCAGGAGTTCCAATGTAACAAAAAATTCAGGGTCAAACTAAGATAGACAAAATTCTTCAGAAAAATCAGAAAAAAGTATATACACTTGAAAGAATAGGAGAAAGACTTGAGAAAAATGAAAGAGGAGTTTCAAAAGTCTGATCAATCTTTTCTGAAGTCTTGAATCTCTGGAGGAAGAAAAGAGGGTATTTTTTCTATAGGTTTTTTTTCTTAACAAAATGTTCTTGCCTTTGACTTTATAAGTAGATTTTTTTTGTATTTACTCACTAAAATATAGGAAGTTTATATCAAAGAGAAAAAGAAACAAAAGAAGAGAGACTAAAGTCTCTAGATATTAATGTTGTTAAAAAAAGTATGTAGACTTTATTACAAAGAAATATAAAATTTCTTTGAAACATCTGTTTTTTATATTGGCAAGAAGATTAGTGAAAAGGGTTTTTTATAAATATTGGTATTTAAATTTTTTTTTATTTAGAGAATTTTAT